AAAAAAAAAAAAAAAAAAAATCGCAATTTGATATTTTCCCCCAAATCGCACCGCCCTAATTTGTAGCAATAGCCATTGTACGGGTCAAAATTATCAATTTGTCTTTTATGCCAAAAATCATTAAGATATTAAGTAAAGATTGTGTTACATGAAGATATTTTGTAAATTTCCTACCATAAATATCAAAACTTAATTTTTGATTAGTAATATGCATTGCTAAGAACTTTATTTTGACAACTTTAAAGATGATTTTTTTGCACCCTCAGATTCCAGATATATTCAAAATAGCTGTATCTCGGCCAAATATTGTCCTATCCTAACAAACCATAAATCAATAGAAAGCTTATTCATTCAGCTTTCAGATTGTGAAATGTACAATTTAAACTTACAAAAATTGACCCTTATGACTGTGTTACAGCCGGCTCTTAGGCTGCAACAAAGAGGAGTCCAGACGCAACAATACTTAACAAAACATTTAACAACAAAATATAACAAATGTAGCATAAACGAAGGAACGAGACAGGGTAGGCCGGGACACGCAGCACAACACGGACCGTCGAGCTCCATGCCGGAGACCAACTCCCAATACCACACGCCAGGCACTCTTAAACTCTACGTCCAACAAGTGTCAGGTGTGCGAGCCACACCTCCTCCAATCGGCACCTAAAACACACACACACACCACAAGTGCACGCACAGCCTAAACTGGGACTTCACAACTGGTTTTGATTGGAATGCCAATCCTGCCATAATTAGAAATGTGTACAAAAAAATGTTAAAAAGCAAAAATAAATACATATACAGAGAAAAGTAAAAAAAGCAAAAATAAATACATAATTATTTATAATTTTATTACCTTATTTCATCTGTCAAAGCGCCTGACAGGGCAAGCCATTACGATAATGCATTAGCTTAAAGCTTAAAATAAAGAATTCTCATGTTTTGGGCAGCTTGGATCACGTAAGTCTCCTACAGCATCTCATTCTCTTTCCTCCACTATTTTTAGATGCATTTTGTCCATAGAAATGCGTAATTCAGTGATGTAATTTGACGCGACCGGATGAAGTTGAACTTGCACTGTGGGCAGACCCGAATAATCGATAATGAGAATCGTTGTCGATGATTTTTATTATCGACAATAATCAGTTGTATCGATTAGTTGTTGCAGTCCTAGTTAAATTACAGAAAGTGATCAAATAACAAATCCTGTTTGCTGGAGCTGTCAATATGTAGTGTTTCTTTACAAAATGGCATCGCCATCTACTGGCCTGGCAGCATAATGCAGTGTTTTTAGACATTTTCATGGATCTGTGTTAAAAAGGCACAGTTTTGACATTGTTTTCGTCTGTACACAAATATTTTATCCTTTTATTTTTCAAACTTACCAATTGATTTTCATCTTTATAATGATTTAATTTTAGGTCTGATGAAAATGAAAGAAGAAAGACAAGATCTGAAAGACAAGGAGGAGAAATATCAGGATCAGAAAGATCATATTTTAGGCCTGATGAAAATGAAAGAAGAAAGACAAGATCTGAATGAGGAGGAGGAGAAATATCAGGATCAGAAAAATCGTGATGTCAATGGAGAAAAATCAGTGAGTTGCAGCATTAAAAAAACAAAAGTCAAAAGGCCTTTCAGCTGCTCTCAGTGTGGAAACACTTTCACATGTAACAGAAATCTTAAGAATCACATGTTAATTCATGCTGAAATAAAGTATTTCAGCTGCTCTCAGTGTGGAAAGACTTTTACACAGAAAGGACAAATTAATAATCATTTGGTAACTCACACTTCAGAAAAGCCTTTCATCTGCTCTCAGTGTGGAAACAGTTTCACACGTAAAGCAAGCCTTGAGAAGCACATGTTGATTCATGCTGGGATAAAGTCTTTCAGCTGCTCTGAGTGTGGAAAGAGTTTTACATATAAAGGAAACCTTGAGACGCACATGTTAATTCATACTAGAATAAAGCCTTTCACCTGCGCTCAGTGTGGAAAGAGTTTCACAAGTAAAGGAAACCTGAGGGATCACATGTTAATTCATGCTGGGATAAAGTCTTACAGCTGCTCTCAGTGTGGAAAGAGTTTTACATATAAAGCAATCCTTAAGACTCACATGTTAATCCATACTGGGAAAAAGCCTTTCTCCTGCTCTCAGTGTGGAAAGACTTTTACACATAAACCAAGCCTTAAGAGGCACATGTTAATTCATACTGGGAAAAAGCCTTTCACCTGCTCTCAGTGCGGAAAGACTTTTACACAGAAAGGACAACTTAAAAAGCATTTGGTAACTCACACTTCAGAAAAGCCTTACAGCTGCTCTCAGTGTGGACAGAGTTTTACATATAAATCAAACCTTAATAGGCACATGCTAATTCATATTGGGATAAAGTCTTTCACCTGCTCTCAGTGTGGAAAGAGTTTTACACAGAAAGTACAACTTAAGAATCATTTGGTAACTCACACTTCAGAAAAGCCTTACAGCTGCTCTCAGTGTGGAAAGAGTTTTACACAGAAAGGATACCTTATGGCTCGGTTCCACTGAGCGGTACGGTACGGTACAGTACAGTTCAGTCAGGCACTGCGCCAGAATTTTTTCTCTACCGGTGCTAAGGGGGAGCTAGACCAATATGTGGGGGTGCTAAGAAAATAAATGATATTGATGACGTCAGAGTTACTTCATAAAGAATAAATGTCAGTTTTAATGAACAATAATAGCCATTATAAAAGGATAAGTTTTCCTGTCAAAAAAAATTTGAATTTAGAATATTCGTCGAATTTTAAATAAAAATCCACATTCGAATGCAATAACGTTGCATTTGAATTTTAGGTGTGCGTAAAGGAGGCAGCCTTATCAGTGGCTCACGAGATGCGATGACGACGTAAGTGTTGCATTTTAATGTTTTTGTTAGCCTGTCCAGTTGAAGCCACTAGATGCTGCGGTGCTGCGTTGTTGGCGCATTTTCTAAAGGATCTATTACCATTGCACTCGCGCCTTTTGCACAAAAGAGCCGCATGTTTAGAAAGCCATGTAAAATGAATGAAAGTTCAACTTTGAAAAAACATATCTCGAGACTAATGGTGTTTTTTGTTTTCCCCCATCCCACTGCAACTCGTGTTTTTAAATGAAAAATGTACTCTGTGTGATTGGCTTTCGGCCCTTTGTATTAAACTATGACTACATACATGATGCCATTTAGTTTATAGTTGTTTAAGCAACTTAATTCATTATAATTGGTTTATAAACAATATTTTAAACATTATGCACTTTTTTTTTCACGGAAAGTCATGTTATTTTATACTCAATGCGCCCTCTTGTGGCCTCAGGAGAAAAGCCAAAAGCTGCTCTTTACCCTAACTGAAATTAGTTCAAATTAAATATATAAAGTTAAACATAACTTTGTGCTCAGC